ACTGCCGTTGTGTTGCGATGGGATGGCCTGCCAAACGCAAGCCGGGCCCGACCAAGCCTGCCGCAGGGGTCGCGCTTTGCTTGCGGTGAGAGGCTGGAGTGGTGGAATTCTGGATTCTGGAATCCTCGTCACACGCGGGTTAGCCCTGGTGCAGTCGAGCCCCCCACCTGAATGCCCGCTTAATCTGAGGCTGGGCATTACCGGAGTTGCCTATATACATTCTACGGAGGCCCAGGCTGGCCCTGAGGGTGTGTTTAAGGGGGGTAGGGTCGCGGTCGACCCCCCCCTAAAACTCCGGTTAATTCAGGGCTGGCGTCCTCGGCCCCGGCGCCTGGCCGGACGTGTCCCAGGGGCCCCTGGGACGGGGGTGGCGCGGGGGCGCGCCCGCGGCGAACGGTCCTGGCCGCCTCCAGCGGCGAGAAGCGCTGGAACCATTGCGTAGCCAACCAGCGCCTCGCCTGAAATGCGAAATATCGCATTTCGGCCCAGAATCTTGATACAGCCGCTCGAAATCGGTGTCGATACGTTCGTGCTCGCGGTTCCGGTGGGTCCTGTGGCGCGCATGATTCTGGCACGGGCCTTGCGGACGCTCTCTGTACTGGGGGCCACGGTTTTTTGCCGGGGCGGCTGTCGCGCTTCTCGCGCGGCATGGACATGCTCTCGTTGCAGCGCGCGGTACACCATGAAACCGCACATGCAGCTCGTCTGCCAGGGCTTCCAGGAGAGGATGATGCAGATCTTCGACTTTGTAGGTCCGCTGTTGCGACAGGTTCGACGCAGACGATGGCCGCAAAGACCAGCCCGCGGTCGACGATGGTGCCGCCCCGTCGTGCTCCGCACGAGGCACGCGATGACCCCCGATGCCCTGGTCGTGATCGAGCACGGGGCGGCGCAATGACTCCGTTGTTGGCGACTGTTTACCCGCGGGCTTTGTTTCGCGCGCACGCGCGGCACACCACTAGCGGCACACTACCCGAGCCCCTGGCCGACGACGTCCCTCGTGGACGCCCCCCGACTGGGGCGGACGCGTCGTA